GCATTAATTATTCACCACAATGCAAACGAACCACTTCAGTAAATCTGTTCTGTTACAAAGATATTTCCGGTTAGAAAGCAAAACTAAAGACATCTTGACGGGTACTGTAAAAATCTGTAGCTCGGAAATTAAGTTTCCTCGTGGAAAACTGCAAACGTTTTTTTACAATGAAAATATTTTGAAGACTGCTTTCAGTGCGTTGTGGAAATAACCACTAATAAAAGTATAATACGAAAGAAGGTTATATTTGGGCGTCTCATAGGTGCATTCATTGATACTTTCATCATTAATCATGATTACTCACCATTAACCTGCTAAAATACTTTGCTGAAATCTACTAAGATTGATAAAAATAATAATGGACCTACTTATTACATCACATCATACCAGTATTATGATAATATCATGGTACAATTTTACTCTGATTCAGTGCTCACAGAGTAGTTATTTTTGACTCAAACATGCAAGCTTGGCTTAAACTAGTAAAAGTTGAACTTCTTTTACCACTTTGCTTGTACTCATTCTTCGATCAATAGACACTACAAAACAAACATAAAATGTCTCACAGTTGAATAACCAATGAGGATGTTCTGAAACAATCTATTTTAGCTAAATGAGTCGATAAATATGTGCATCTAATAAGCATATGTATAAGGCTAAAATTTTGGATGCTGAGAAATTCTCTATTGTCTAGTAAACAATCGATTAGCCGTTAAATTACACAGATATACACATATACTAAAATTAGCATTAGGCTTACAGTAAAAACCAGACACGTGAGTCCTACGTCAAGCTTTTTTGACAAATATTTCTGTATCATATGGCAAGCTAACGATACTTCAGATTCTTAAACAAGAACACTTTAGGCAAAAAGTTTACTAATTATGAATATGATTGAATACAGAGGTTTTCAATTATAGAAGATTCGATTTCACCAAGCAAAGTTTTAATTTTCAGGAAGTGCCGTGCTTTATGAGAACACGCCTACAGCTTGCTTTATCTCCTTGACACGAAAACCGTGACGATATAAACATGAAGAAATGCACCAAAAACAATAACATCGCAACATTTGTAAAACGTCAAGTAATAGTAAGACAGAGATGATTAGATAAAAAAGAGCATACATTTGAAAGCAATAATTACTTTCTTGCATTATCATTTGAACACAAACGAAGCGTGGAAACTACGATGTGACCACCACTATTTTTGATTCCAAGCCAAAAATAATAACCTCTCAGTCCATCTTTGTGACTGTAAGGTAAGAGTGGTGATAACTCATTGGTGCTTAAACACATGGCTATATTTCACCTTTTGTTCACATGCAACCAACCACCTCCCAACTTCTTTAAAATATTCAGTGGTAAAAGTCAAAGATCACCACAGAACTTTCTTCAATATCACTTAAAAGTCAGGACGGCGTTTACATATGATTTCGCCTACTAAATTAGGACTTTCGCATCACCTTAATAACATAAATTATAACGTTCAGCTTTTGATAGGAAATACCAATAGATCAACCTTCAAGCTTCTGAATCATTAACGTCATAACACAGAACCGCTGTTAAAAAAACAACCTTTAAAATAGGTATTTTATTGAACCAGTAACTGTGATTCCTGCTGCAGCCCAAATCTTCATTCAGGCGCAAATAAAATAATCTTTATGCAGTTTTTCAAATACAAGTACTAAAAAACATTTGATTATGTTCTATACAAAAAGTATTACTAATTAAGCTGTCTTTTACAACCAGTCTGTTGCATCATGATGAGTTCTAATTCAAGTGTGACACCTAGATCATACAATTTTTAGAAAATTTAGAGTATAAATGATCTGACGAGTAGTATTTACGAAATTTTCCTTCTCAACGTATCACATTTAATCTAGGATTGTT